GCCTAATCCCTTGGAACCTCTTTCTACAGTATGACTGGAAAATTTATCATGTAGGCTGGGTATTATTAGTAACTGTGCTATTCTATCTCCTGGTGAAATTACTGATATACCCTTTGGAGAACTGGCTATAATTTTTATTTCACCTTCATAATCGGGATCAATTACCCCAGGACTTATCATAAGTCCTTTTAGAGTAGAAGAGCTGCGTCCCAATAATAAGCCTACTGTTCCTTTGGGAAGAGGTCCTTTCACCCCTGTGGGAATGATTTGAACTCCCATCTCTGGAGTTAGTACTGCTCTGGTGGAGGCACAGATGTCCAACCCTGCGCTCCCTCTGGTTTGTCTGATGAGGGATCTGATGGACAATGTGTCCTGGGCACTACCCTGATGGGGTTGCTGGGTTCCTCCAGTGCTCCGTATATTTGTGGTTTTGGGCCCCGGAGCATTGGGCCCCCCGTCCATTTTTTGGCAATGGAGCCCGATGCCTTTCTCCACGATATCGTGGATAAACACCTGGTCCTTGTTCGTTTTTTGATAATGGAGTACCCTCTATGGTGGTTTGAGAACGGCATTCATTAGCCCAATGTCTCCCTCTACGGCATCGTGGGCAAATACCTGGTATTCTACTCCTTTGATACCTAGTTTTGTTAAACCCTCCTCCAATGGGGCAATTCCTTTTAAAATGTCCTGTTTGTTCACAATTGTAGCATGTTCTTGGCCTGGCATCTAAAGCCTGTTTTACTGCAGCTGCCACAATTTGCCCTTGTTCATTAATGTCTCTGGCATCTAAAGCCTGTTTTACTGCAGCTGCCACGACTTGCTCTTCTTCATTAATGTCTCTACATAATTTAATATATGTGTTTAAATCTTCATGTTTCCATGGTCTAATGATATCTCTGCACCAACGATTCGCTTGCTCATAAGCCAGGTGTTTTAGTAATGGCATTGCTTGTTCTGTATTCCCAAAAACTCTGGTAGCTGTTTGAATAAGCCTATCTACAAATTCAGCATAAGGTTCATTAGCTCCTTGTATTACCTTAGATAATTGACCTTGTAAACCTCCATGTCCTTGTAAAGTCTTCCATGCCTTAATTGCATCTGCAGCAATTTGTGCGTATACGCCAGGATCATATGCAATTTGTTGCTGCTGATCCTCATAAGGTCCCTTTCCTAACAACATATCTAGATTTCTCTGAGGATAACCAGCTGCTGCATTTCGCCTAGCCGTCTCCTTGCAAAATTCCTCATTGGCAACCTTCCATAACAGGTATTGTCCTCCATTTAGCACAGCTTTACACATATTAGCCCAATCTGCTGGCGTCATGTTCAAGTTGTTAATGGATTCGACCATGCTTACAGTGAAGGGTGCTTGAGGACCATAGGTTGTTACAGCCTCTTTTAGCTGCTTCACTGTTTTGAAATTTAAAACTTGGTAAAATCGCTGCCCTCCTGCCTCAAATACAGGGCATGTTAATATTTGAGATCTTGTTTCAGGACAGATGCCAGCAAAATATCATAACAGACACTACAGAAATATACAATATAATTAGAAATTATTTTGAAAACTTGTACTCCAGTGAAATAGAAAATACCAAAGACATCAACAAATTTCTAGCCACATGATTTTTGAACCAGGACAATATACATGGTTTAAACATATAAATTTCAAACAATGAAATAGAAATGCCATCTGAAGCCTACCAACAAGAAAAGCCCAGGACTGGATGGATACACAGTCAAGTTCTACAAGACCTTTAAAGAAGAATTAATACCAATACTCCTCAAATTATTTCATGAAATAAAAAAAAGAAACACTTTCAAACTCATTCTATGAGGCCAATATCACCCTGATTCCAAAACCAGGCAAAGACACATCAAAGAAAAAAAAATTCAGACCAGTATCTCTAATGAACATAGATGCGAAAATTCTCAATAAAATTCTGGCAAATTGAATATAAAAACATATCCAAAAGATAGTGCACCACGATCAAGTGGCATTCATCCCAGGGCATGCAAGTTTGGTTCAACATATGGAAATCAATAAATGTAATTCATCACATCAATAGACTTAAAGATAAGAATCATATGATCATCTCAATAGACACAGAAAATGTGTTTGACAAAATATAGCACCCCTTCATGTTCAAAACACTAGAAAAACTAGGGATAACAGGTACTTAACTCAACATTGTAAAAGCTATCTATGCTAAGCCTCAGGCCAATATCATTCTAAATGGAGAAAAAATGAAAGTATTCCCTCTAAAAATGGAAACAAGACAGGTTGCCCTCTTTCACCACTTCTATTTAACATAGTTCTTGAAACACTAGCCAAAGCAATTAGACAGACAAAAGAAATTAAAGGGATATAGACAGGAAAAAAAGAACTCAAATTATTACTATTTGCCAACTATATGATTCTACACATAGAAGAAACAAAAAATTCCACCAGAAAACTTCTAGAAGTAGTGAATGAACTCGGTAAGGTAGCAGGGTACAAAATCAGCACCTATAAATCAAAAACATTTCTGTACATCAGTGAAAAATCCTATGAAAAGGAAACAGGAAAACTACCCCATTTACAATAGCCTCAAAAAAATGGGAGAAATCAATTTAATAAAAGAAGTGAAAGACCTGTGCAGTGAAAACTATAGGACTCTAAAGAAAGAAAGAAGACCTTAGAAGATGGAAAGATCTTCCTTGTTCTTGGATAGGCAAAATTAGTATTATCAAAATGACCATACTATCAAAAGTACTATACAGATTTAATGCAATTCCAATCAAAATACCAATGACATTCCTCATAGAAATAGAAAAGGCAGTCACAAAATTCATCTGGAAAAATAAGAGGCCTAGAATAGCTAAAGTAATTCTTAGCAAGAAGAGTGAAGCAGGTAGCATCACTATACCAGAACTTAAACTATGCTACAGAGCTATAGTAACAAAAATGGCATGATATTGGCACCGAAATAGATTGGTAGACCAATAGTACAGAACAGAGGAAATAGAGCAAACCCATATAAATACAGTTATCTTATAATTAGACAAAGGCACCAAAAACATATATTGGAGAAAAGATAGCCTCTTCAACAAATGGTGCTGGGAAAACTGGAAATCCAAATCCAAAAAAAAAACTCTCTCCCCATGTGTAAAACTCAATTCAAAGTGGATCAAAGACCTATGAATTAAACCAGAGACCTTGCAACTAATAGAAGAAAAAGTAGGCCCAAATCTCCATCATGTCAGATTAGGCCCTGACTTCTTAAGATTCCTATAGAATATGAATTAAAATCAAGAATCAACAAATGGGTTAGATTCAAACTCAAAAACTTCTTCCCAGCAAAAGAAGCAATCTGTTCTTGCGACTAAAAGGCTCAGGGTTTACTCCAATTGAATTGGGCTTGGGCTGCAGGAAATAACCACACAAGAGACACAAATACCTTTTTCTTTGGGGTTGCTGTGACAGCTCCTCTGACCTTAAGGGTCCGCAAGAAGAGAGAGGGCGAGAGCACAAGCTGACCCCTTTTACTGAGGAGAAGCTATTCAAATGAGGCAAGGGGTCAGGTTTCAGGGGGCTGAGTCTATCTTCATGATGTCCACTGTCAGCAGGTTGACTGACACCTGGGTAGGCCAAACCCAAGGACACAGTAAGAGAAGGGGACACACACAAGGCACTTCCACGAAAGATTCTATCCTAAATAGGGCAAGGGATTATATTACAAAGCAACAGGTGAGCATAGCTTTACCCACGGGGCTGTAGCAAGACACACCCATGCACGAGACACCCCTCGAACCCAAGAAGGGTGGGGAAAGATCTGCCATATTTCTGTGACTGAGTACCTCAGCACCCAGCTGCGGAGTGTGACTCAGTCACATACAAGGTTGGTCTCCCACAAGTGAGGTGAATAGAGAGGCTACAGAATGGGAGCAAATTTTTACCACATGCACATCAGATAGAGCACTAATCTCTAGGATATATAAAGAACTCAAAAATCTTAACATCAAAAAACAAATAATATACAATCAATAAATGGGCCAAGGAACTGAACAGACACTTCTCAGAAGATGATATACAATCAATCAACAAATACATGAAAAAATGTTCAACATCTCTAGCAATTAGAGAAATGCAAATCAAAACTACTATTAAGATTTCACCTCACTCCAGTCAGAATGGAAGCTATTAAGAATACAAACAACAATAAGTGTTGGCGAGGATGTGGGGAAAAGGGCACACTCTTACATTGCTGGTAGGACTGCGAATTGGTGCAAATAATCTGGAAAGAAGTATGGAGATTCCTTGGAAAACTGGGAATGGAACCAACATTTGACCCAACTATCTCACTCCTTGGTTTATACCCAAAGGACTTAAAAACAGCATAGTACAGGCACACAGCCAGATCAATGTTTATTGCAGCACAGTTCACAATAACTAAATTGTGGATCCAACCTAGATTCCCTTCAGTAGATGAATGGATAAAGAAAATGTGTTATATATACACAATGGAATATTACTCAGCATTAAAAGAGAATAAAATCATGGCATTTGCAGTTAAATGGATGGAGTTGAAGAATATAATGCTAAATGAAGTAAAACAATTCCAAAAAACTAAATGTGGAATGTTTTCTCTGATATACAGATGCTGATTCATAATGGAGATGGGGGGGCATGGAAGGAACAAACTTTAGATAGGGCAAAGGGGAGGGAGGAGAGGGAAGGAGACACAGGGGTAGAAAGACGATGGAATGAGATGGACATCATTACCCTAAGTTAATGTATGAAAACACGAATGGTATGACTCTACTTTGTATTCAACCAGAAACATGAAAAATTGTGCTCTATTTGTGTAATATGAATTGAATCGCATTCTGCTATCATATATAACTAATTAGAATAAATAAAATTTTTAAATTTAAAATAAATAAATAAACAGATATTCATATGCCAATCTTTTTTTATTTTATTTTTTATTGGTTGTTCAAAACATTACAAAGCTCTTGACATATCATATTTCATACATTTGATTCAAGTGGGTTATGAACTCCCATTTTTACCCCGTATACAGATTGCAGAATAACATCGGTTACACATCCACATTTTTACATATTGCCATACTAGTGACTGTTGTATTCTGCTATCTTTCCTATCCTCTTCTATCCCCCATCCCCTTCCCTTCCATCTTCTATCTCTACCCCATCTACTGTAATTCATTTCTCTCCCTTGATTTTTTTTCCTTTCCCCTCATATCCTCTTATATGTAATTTTGTATAACAATGAGGGTCACCTTCCATTCCCATGCAATTTCCTCATATGCCAATCTTTTGGGGAAAAAATAAAATAATAAAAAAAAGATCACAGGTCTGACTCTAGTTATTTATATTTCTTACCAATACTCTTAATATAAAATAATAATAGGGTGATTCTCAGAAGCCTCTTATTTAAACATTCTGACCTATTTATTATCTCTAGCACCTCAGAAAGACAATTACTGTTATTATTGTTATTTCATTATTATGATGTCAACATTCATTGAGCATTTAAAACCTGCCAGGCCCTGATCTAAGCACTGTAATATATGATCTCATTATTTCTGAAAACCCACTTGCTGAGGAAGGTACTATTATTTTACCAATGCATAACTAGAAGCTGAAGGAGATTAAGTAACTTCTCTGAGGTCAGAGGACTGAGAGTTAGAGCCTGAGTTTTGAATCCAGGAAGTCTACCTTCAGAGTGCAAGCTACATCACCTGCAGAGAATGTATCCTAGAGTAAGAGATCTGTATTAAAATTCCAGTTCTGCCTCTTCCTGGGCAAATTAACTCAAGTAAGTCAGTTCTCATTTCTTCATATGTAAAATGGGTTCTGGAGTCTTACTTGATGAACAGGTAATGTGCATATGTGTACCCATCATCAAAATCTGAATACATATTATATAGTAAAATAAGGGCAGTTTTGAAATCTAATCAACTTGGATTCAAATCTTACCACACTTACCAAAATGGAGATTTCTGACAAGATATACAAATATTCTGAGCCTCTGTTTCATCATGGGAGACAAAAAATACCTAACAAGCAGCGTGGTTTATCAATCAGAAATAACACATATTAATATAGTACAATGTCAGGGAAATGAAGGACTTTGATATGATAATTGTTCATATTTTATGGTTACTTATTAAGCAAATATGCTTTCAATTCACTGACAGGCAAGGAACAAAGTTCTCTGTGTTGCCGTTTGGCTGTTCCTCTCTATACTCCTAACTTTGGCATCACAGAGGGAAGCTGGAGAACCTCATCCTCTGCTTAAGGATTTTTTAAAAAGGAGCTAGCCTTCTGTGGGTCCTGCCTTACATGTGGCTCTGACTGAGGTTGGTGCAGAGAGGATGGGCTGAAAGTATTCTTCCTTCTCATTTTTTCTCCCTGGTGAGCCCACTGAGAAGAGATGGATTGTGAGTCCCATGTGGTAAATGCAATCAGGGTCCTAACTCTCACCCAATAAGGATGACCCTTCTTTGTTTGAGGCTCTCAGAAAAAAGCACATCATCTAAAGGGTAGCACTTCCTTGAATGTCCAAGACAGAGGCTTTAGGCAAATTCCTTTACAGAACATCAGGCTCCCTTCTATCAAATGAGAGCTTTCAAATTGGGTATTTGTAAGGCTTGCTTAAATAAAATACTTTATGAGAGATAGGCAGTTAGTAAATATTCAACTAATTTTAATTCTCCTCTTTCTCAGAGAACATTTCAGTGTCAACATCATGTAGAGGTAAATAATATCAGTAATATACCACGGCTAAAGAATGAGGCAAGTCTGCATATATTCTCTTCAGCTTATGTCTAAACATTCAAGAACAGAATACAAACAAGTTCTCTCATCACTAACATTGAAAATAAGTAAATTCCCAATGAATGTACCATACATTTAGGAACATGGACTTTGTACCTTCATCAAGAAAAATAACTGACACATATGGGAAGCAATTTGTTATGTCAAATCCCAGAAGCTTAGCTTGGATCTAACTCTAGATAAAATGTTGCTATTATAGTGGTAGAAAGTAAAAGCAATTATGTTTTTATGTCGCATAAAATAAAGCTCCTAAAAATAAATAAATAAAGCTCCTTCTTTTGACAAAAAAAAGAAAAATAATTGAATTTGTATAAATCCATATCATATCTATCACACTGCATTAACTTGCAGAATTTAGCTATAATGTTTGGCATTGAAAAAGATATTATAAAGAACATTATTACTGTAGCAGAAACCTATAAACTGTGTGTGATAACTTTTAGTACTAGGGATCAAACCCAGGGGCACTTTACCATAGAGCTAAATCCCCAGCCCTTTTTATTTTTTTTATCTCTAGACAGAGTTCTTGCTAAGTTTCTGAGGCTGGCCTCAAACTTGTGATCCGCCTGCCTCAGCCTCCTATGTCACTGGGATTACAGGTGGGTACCACTGTGCCTAGCTACAATACTGTGTTCTAAAAGAATACAAGAAATAAGTTGGTTACCCTCAGCACAGGATTTAGCTAAATCTATAGCAGAGGCATTTTGTCTTACTAGTAACAATGACAGAAGTAAATCATCACCATCTGGTTGTATGGTTTCAATATTAGGTGTTTCCCAAAAGCTCATGTGTGAGATAATGCAAGAAAACTTAGAGGTGAAACGATTCAGTTATCAAAACCTTAACCTAATCAGTGCATTAATCCTGTGATAACTGTAGTGAGTGGTAACTGTAGGCAGGTAGAGTGTAACTGGAGAAGCTGGGTCATCGGGGTGTACCTGTAGATACATATGTTGTCTGTGGTGAGGAGAGTCTCTCTTGACTTGTTGGTGGCCATGTCCTGATCTGCCTTCCTCCACCACACTCTTCTGTCATGATGTTTTGCCTCACCTCCAGCCCCAAGGAATGGAACTGGACTTTGACCTCAGAAATTATAAGCCCCCAATAAACTTTTCCACCTTAAAATTGTTCTTGTCAGGTCTTTTAGACACAGCAGAGAAGAAGCTGACTTTAAACACTGGTTTAATCAGTGAGAGGCCTTTGCTAGATGTATATTCACACTGATGATCTGGTTGATGCCCAGGAACAGAACTTACCTCTGCAGTTGGGTAAGGAGGCCTTTTGTCTCTTTGCTTTTACTATGCTCACTTCCATATACAAGAATTTGAATCATCAGACACTGTATGTGAAGTGAGAAACATAATAGGTTAAAGAGAATCCTATAGCAAGTACCTTAAATGCAAATTAACTCAGAAAAGGACCAGTGGAACTGGAATATCATAACTTTAAATTTGGAATGCCTATATTACATGTCATTGGTTCCCTACCAAGTAGGAAAAGAACTGTCACTGAAGCCTCTTTAGTTACCTTCTATAACACTCATGCTGCATGCATACTCCAGTTTGCTTCACCTTCCTCTACCAAACATGGCTGCTGATAACTAAAGTAACAGCCCCAAACTGATAGCATCCCTGCTTAAAACATGACTACAGTAGTGGATTCCATTAGGATTTTCCACATAGCTATAACTAATGGATAGAAATTAAATAAAATGAGATTTAGGCATATATCCCAAAGCTGCCTTGTTTTCTCATGCTGCATAATTTTACTTTAGGTAGGTTTCCATTTTGAATTTTATTGCTAAACTTTGTTTCTAGCCAACATGGAATGGTAGGGACCAGATTTTCTCTATACCTGAATCAACAAAAAAATGAAAAAAGTAGACAAAAGTGCATTAATTTTTAAAACTTTTTAATTTTTAAGATACCATACATCAGACAATAAAAGACCATGATCCCTAAGAAAAGGATAACAAGTGAGGTTAACCCTATGATTATCCCAGATTATTGTTTTGACTGTTTCTGGGCATTATACAGGAAAGGAGACCAAAGCTCACCAGACTCTCCGAGAGAGCTGAAAGCCCCAGAAGATGTTTAGCAGACACTTCATGAAAAAGAACCATGGATATTTACGGTGGTTCTCTTCAAGTAAGGTACCTTTTTCCTGTTATTTGTGATTTTTTTTTGTTTACATTAAGCTAACCTAAAATGAGACAAAAATTTGTCCAAACTTGATGTTTATCAATGCAATATGTGGATTGCCTGTCACTCAACCCTCTGCTCACTTGAGTGTTAGTTGATCTTCATAGACTTCTTCCCTGACTTTGAGCAAAACTAGGTGTTAGGTAGAGGCATCCCTATCTATCTTACTAAGTCTCTAGCCTTTGTTCTGTCAGCATTTTAATGGTTTGTACACCCTGGAAGGGAAGAGATATACATACATATATACAAACATCACTCTTCAATTCTGCTGATAAGCCCAGGATAAAATGTAACAAACCAGCCAGAATTCACCTTCGTTGGCTCACCTTCCTTAGCAGCTGAATTGCCTTTCTGAGCTCTCCTTTGGCAAAGCAGATCCTGCCCAAGTTATAAAAAGTTTCAGCCACCTTTTTGCTACAGTCACCATAGCTGATGATCTGGGACTTCAGTGAAGCCTTTAGCAGTTTGTAAGCCTCCTAGGGGATGAATTTTAAAAAAAAATCAACCTGGCAGTTCTGAAAGAGCCTGCGGTTTCTATGGCACGAGCTCTGTGAAGGAGGCATTCTATCCTACAATGACTTGGCCCCACCAGGACAGTTAGTTATGATGTGTCACCTAAACAATTTGTTTCTCCTGAGTTAAAGTTCCAAGCTTATAACTAAAAGTAGTTAATTCACATGTATAATATTATTTAATTTTCATGACTATCCAATGTGACAGAAACTATTGTTATACTCATTTTACAGATGAAGGAATGAGGATTTATAAAAGCTAAGGATCTTGCCAAAGATCACATAACCTATAGCTGACCATCTCAGGATTCAAACACCACACAGTCTGAATTCTGAATTCCATAGCCCTCATTCTTTCTTTTAAAAAATTTCAGACTTTTTTGTTAGCTGAAAAGTAATAGGATAGATACTCATAAAATGTTCACCTAGATTCACAGATGATTACCATTTCTCCACATTTGCTTTAGTGTGCTCTTTTTCTCCCAAGTGTGTGCGTGCACACACACACACAAGGGTGAATATATATATACCCATAAGTTGTAGTCATCAAGATACTTTCCCCATAAATACTTAAGCAATGTCTTCTTAGAACATTTTCCTCTTTAACTACAATAACATTATCAATCAATAAATTTTAATTGGTACAATACCATTAGCTTCATATATATTCCAGTGCAAATTTTCTAATTGTCCCAATAAAATCTACTAAGAATATTATATTGCATTTAGTTTTCATAATTCCATAGTCTTTTGCAATTTTTATATTTCATAATATTAATATATCTTAAAAAGTTCAGACCAGCTGTCTTTCAGTCTAGTACTCACTCTCCCACTGGAGAAGGCTGTGACATTTTTAAAAAACTTATTTGTTCTTTTGGCATTAAAAGAAAATAAAATTATGGCATTTGCAGGTAAATGGATGGAGCTGGAGAATATCATGCTAAGCAAAGTACGCCAATCCCCAAAACCCAAAGGCCAAATGTTCTCTCTGATAAGTGGATGTTGATCCATAATTGGGGGCAGGGGCATGGGAAAATGGAGAAACTTTGGGCAAAGGGGAGGGAGGGGAAGGGAGGGGCCATGGGGGTAGGGAATATAGTGGAATGAGATGGACATCATTGCCTTAGGTACGCATATGAATGCACATATGATGCAATGCCACATTGTGTAACCAGAGAAATGAAAAGTTGTGCTGCAATTGTGTACAATGAATCAAAATGCATTCTGCTGTCATATATACCTAATTAGAATAAATAAATTTTAAAATATATAAAAAATAAATAAAAATATAAAAAATTATTTGTTCTTTCAAGATGTACACAATATACATTTTGACATATTGTACAGAAATAGAATAATTTGTTCCATTTAGGATCCCATTGTTGTGGTTGTACATGGAATTACATTGGTCATGTATTCATATGTAAGGATAGAAAAGATACCTTAAATTCATTTTACTGGCTTTCTTATTCCCATCCCACCTCCCTTCTCTTCATTCCCCTTTGTCTAGTCCAATGAACTTCTAATCTTCCCTCCCTTGTTGTGAATTAGCATCCACATATCAGAGAGAATATTCTGCCTTTGTTTTTTGGGGACTGGCTTATTTCACATAACATGATATTCTCCAGTTCCATCCATTTACCAGCAAATGCCATATTTTCATTGTTCCTTATGACTGAGTAATATTCTATTGTGTATATATAGCACATTTGCTTTATGCATTCATCTGTGGTAAGATACCTTGGTTGGTTCCATAGCTTGGCTATTGTGAACTGAGCTGCTATAAACATTGAAGTAGCTGTATCTCTGTAGTGTACTGATTTTAAGTCCTTCATGTTTATGCCAAGGAGTGGAATAACTGGGCCAAATGGTGGTTCCATTCCAAGTTTTCTAAAGAATCTCCATACTGCTTTCCAAAGTGGTTGCACCAATTTTCAGCCCCACCAGCAATGTATAAGTGAACCTTTTTCCCACAACCTTACCAACATTTATTGTTGCTTGTATTCTTGATAATTGCCATTCTCAATAGGGTAAGATGGAATCTCAGTGTAGTTTTGATTTGCATTTCTCTAATTGCTAGAGAATGTTGAAAAGTTTTTCATATATTTTTTTTTGCCCATTTGTATTTCTTCTTCTGTGAAGTGCCTATTCAGTTCCTTAGCCTGCTTATTTACTGGAGTATTTGTTTTTTTGCTTGTTTGTTTGTTTTTGTTTTGGTGTTAAGTTTTTTGAGTTATTTATATAACCTGGAGATTAATACACTATCTGAGGTGCTGGTAGTAAAGATTTTCTCCCATTCTGTAGGCAATCTGTTCATATTCTTGATTGTTTCCTTTGCTGTGAAGAAGCTTTTTAGTTTGATACCATCCCATTTTCTGATTCGTGATTTTATTTCTTGTATTTTAGAAGTCTTTTTGAGGAATTCTGGCCTATATTTTTTTCTACTAGGCATAGGGTCTCTGGTCTAATGCCTGTGTTCTTGATCCATTTTGAGTTGATTTTTTTGCAGGGTGAGAGAAGGGTTTAACTTTCATTCTACTACATATGGATTTCCAGTTTTCCTAGCACCATTTGTTGAAGAGGTTACCTTTTCTCCAACGTATGTTTATGGCACCTTTGTCTAGGATGAGATAATTGTATTTAGTGGGGTTGTCTCTGGGACTTCTATTCTGTTTCATTGGTCTTAATGACTGTTTCTGTGCCAATACCAGGCCATTTTGGTTTCTATAGCTCTGTAGTATATTTTAAGGTCAAGTATCGTGATGCCTCCTGCTTCACATTTCTCGATAAGGATTGCTTTAGCTACTCTGGGCCTCTTACTTTTCCAAATGAATTTCATGACTGATTTTTCTATTTATATGAAGAACATCATTGGAATATTAATAAGAATTGCATTAAATCTGTATAGTGCTTTTGGCAGTAAGGCCATTTTGAAATTATTAATTCTGCCTATCCAAGATTTGATATCTTTCCATCTTCTAAGGTTTTCTTCAATTTCTTTCTTTAGTGTTCTGTAGTTTTCATTGTAGAGGAGTTTCACGTCTTTTTTTAGATTGATTCCCAATTTTTTTTTTGAGGCTATTGTGAAGGGGAAGTTTTCCTGATTTTCAGCTGATTTATCATTGGTGTATAGGAACACAACTGACATATGAGTGTTAATTTTATATACTGCTACTTTTTGCTGATTTTATTTATGAGTTCTAGAAGATTCCTAGTGAAGTTTTTGGGTCTTCTAAATATAAAATTATGTCATCAGCAAATAGGGATAATTTGCACTCTTCTTTTCCTATTCATATCCCTTTCTTTCTTTTGTCTAATAGCTAGTATCGTCCTGATACCCAAACCAGACAAAGGCAAATCAAAGAAGAAAACTTCAGATCTATGCCCCTGATGAACATAGATGCAAAAATTCTTAATAAAATCCTGGCAAACAGCATAAAAAAACATATTAAAAAGATAGTGTACCATGATCAAGTGAGGTTCATCTCAGGGATGCAAGGCTGATTCAACATATGGAAATCAATAAATTTAATTCATTTCATCAATATACTTAAAGACAAGAATCACAAGATTATCTCAATAGATGCCAAAAAAGCATTTGATAAAATTCAACATTCATTATGTTCAAAACACTAGAAAAACTATGGATAGTAGGAACATGCCTCAACATTATAATAGCTATATATGTTAAATCCAAGGCCAACATTATTGCAGTGGAGAAAAATTGAAAACATTCCCTCTAAAAACAGTAACATGACAGGGATGACCTCTTTCTCCACTCCTATTCAACATACTCCTTCAAATGCTAGCCAAAGCAATTAGTGCTCACTCTTTACTACTTACAATATAGCAAAAAAAAATCAGTATATATTGAAAAATATTTATCATATTGCTTTATGTATTTGCCTTCCAATGTGTTTTCTTTAGAGAGGATAATGAGGTTTAGTTATCATTGTACCTTCAAGATAATTGAATCCCATATAATTGAAATAATTGAACTACCTATTATTTCTATTTTGACATGTATAAATAGAACATTTCTTCAGAACTAAGTTGAAAGTGTAACCATTATCCTTTATATGCCATATTAAACAACTGATTTTAAAAAGCTTCAATTGCTGCTTTCCAGGATATTCTGTCAATAATCTAAGAATCGTGAGGCTGGGTTTGTAGCTCAGTGGTAGAACACTTGCCTAGCATGTGTGAGGCACTGGATTTGATCCTTAGCACCTCATAAAAATACATAAAATAAAGATATTGTGCCCATCTACAACTAAAAAATATATATTAAAAAATCTAGGAATCTCAGAGCTCTATAATATCTTTGCATTTTTAAAGTAGGAAAACATGCATTATAATTTCATTATTTTTTAAGTATACAAGTATTTCACCTTCTTGGTTAAGTTTATTAAATTCTAAGTATTTCATTCTTTTGGATGCTATGGTAAATGAGATAGTTTTCTTACTTCCTTTTCAGATTGTTCATTATTAGTGTACAAAGATACAACTGATTTCTATATGTTTGTCTCAGGCAATTTTATTGAACTTATCAGTTTTGGGGTTTTTTTTACACATTATCTTTATTTTTATTTATTTATTTTTATATTGTGCTAAGGATCAAACTCAGGGCCTCACGTGTGCAAGGCAAGTGCTTTACCACTGAGCTAAAACCCCAGCCCTGAACTTATCAGTTCTATCGTGTGTGTGTGTGTGGGGGGGGGTGGGGGGTGTAATCTTTAAGGTTTTTTTATATAACACATATAATTCTGTAAACAAAATTTCTATTTTTTCCTTTTCAATTTGAATGCTTTTTGTTTCTTTTTTCTTGCCTAATGATTTGGCTAGTACTTTTAGTACAACAGTGAAAAGAAGTGAAGAAAGATGGTATCCTTATTTTGTTCCAAATTTTAGAGAAAAAGTTTTTAAATTTTTACTACTGAATATGATATTAACTGTAGGCTTTT